TGGAAACACCCACACAAGGAGAAAATTGCAATTAGTAATCTGACATCTAAAATAAGATGGGAGTTAAAAGAGTATATTATACACATGAGTCAATCCACTAAATGCTGATTTATTTAGAATTGGAAAAAAACATTGCAAAGAACATAGAAGAGTTACCTTGTTAAAGAAGTCAACCTGACTGCAACTAGCCTTGTAGGAATTCTCCAAAAGCTCTTTAAACGAAAGCTTTAAGGGGAGAGATTTGTCAACCCAGGCACCATTAGCCACAGATACGCACAAGTCAGTTCTCCCGCTACCATCGGCTAGGGCAACAGATACTATCTCTGTCAAGACTGTGTTGAGGTGCTCTGTTGATGGTGACTCGAGGAATGATAGGATTTGTTCTTTCGTGGCGGCACCAGAACCAGCAGCAATGATGCTGAGCAAAACATTGATTGACATTGGTGAGCAAAACTCGAGGAATGATAGGATTTGTTCTTTCGTGATTGACACTGGCAATCTCAATAAAAATAATTAATGTACACAACTATATTTTGTTGTACACATATACACTACCATATTTATTGTACATATGTACTATTGTAAACATGTACACTACTAACATTTAATATACACTAACATATGTACATATCTTTACAACATGTAGGACATGTAATATGTATCTCAAACATATGTGTACATGTAAATATTTGATATACATAACGCTCAAGCTTGTAGATATTTGTGCAGGGTAGATTAAGAGATGGATGATTCAGATGCTTTCTAGCGTTGATGATATAGTGCCAAAACTTGTAGATTTTGGTGTATGTGATTGTAAAGTTTCGATCTTGGAATCAAGTTATTTCTCTTTTATATGATTGATGATATATTTGAGATTTGTCGCATCTTTTTAGTTTATACCTCTCGTAAAGTTTTCATCTTGAATCAAGATATTTTGAAATGTCATTACTGTGTACACATATATTTCATTTAAAGTATGATACAAAAACAAATAAAAGAATAAGATTTCACGATATTTTGAAATGTCCATGTGTACGTTATTTACACAAGTTGCATAGTGGTTGTGAACTTTAGCGATGTATACAATGTTGTAAAGGTATCATTTTGTACACTATTGTTACTATATCCGTGTACACAGTTGTAAATGATATATACATGTACACCAAGATGATATCTAATGTTCATGAGATTGTAAAGATATCATTTGTACACTGATGTAACTATATCTATGTACACAGTTGGTGTACACATATAGATGTTAGTATAAGGACAACGAAGCATGGTTTACGTGAATTAAACAACATGATTATATATTTACATGTGTACAAACACAACATGTGTACATCTTTGAGATATGTACATGAATTAAACAACATGATTATAAACTTCTTTTGAAAGTATATATGTTAAACATGCACCTTTAGATCTGTTTAAAAAAGAACGAAAGCTTTCCAAGACCTAGCTTTCAATGCATAACCAGAGGTGCTTGTGAAACATTTTCAGTAAATCTGATCTCATCGATTTCAATATGTGAGCATATTTCCATGTAGAAAGATTGTTGTTTATGTACAATGTGATTTTGTTAGGGTGTACACAAACAAGCGTATTAGGGTGTACACAAAAAAGTGTGTACATGTGTACAACGTGAACAAGTTTCGTGTACAAATCTTAATATTTTTGTTTTTTTATTAGTTATGAAAAATTACAAAAATAGCCTTCTCTTCTTCCTTGGCCACTGTAATTTTTGCCTGAACGAAGAAGCTTGAACTATGACACGCCGAAAAAGCTTGACTCGAACTAAGAACGTGACGAACTGGTTTCAATCACCGTGAGACACCACAAGCAGTTTGGAAATCAAGCATGGCCAAGGTTGCCAGCGTTTTCGGAGCAGAAGCAAAGGGTAGTGAGAGAAGCTCTCTATGATTGAGGCGATCTCTATCGTTGACGTTTAAGATTTCCGTTGTTGATGTTACAGTCATATACAACCCCCTTATATCTCCTTCAAAACTGTAGCTTGACATATCTTAAAAGATAGACAAGAAAATGTAAATAATGAATAACTCGAAATTTTAAAAACTAAATAAACTGTAATAACAAATTTCATTTTACAAAGAAAATAGATAGGAAGAAGAAAGAGGAAAAAGAAAGAGGAAAAAGAAAGAGGAAGAAAAAAAAGAAATGGACCCACTTTTAATTGACTCGTTACAATATAACTAGAAAAAGGGAACATGTTAGGATAAAGTGTGTCAGTAGAAGAATGTGTCTTTTTGTGTAATGAAAAACTCAAAACTGTCTTTGAGTGATATATTTTGGTTTTAAAATGTGTTGTTCAAACAAATTATAATTTGTTATTATTCTTCTTTTACATCAACTGGTACATGTAACCGATACATGGTCTCACGAAAAGGATATTATATGTTAATGCTCGACCAACTGAATAACTAATCTTGATTTGAACACTTCAATGCAACCTTTTGAAAAGTCTCGTATATTAACAAACTAGTGGTGTACCGGCGCTACGCGCCGGATTCATATATTATTATAAAATAAGTTGCGATTTATTTTGTGGCCTTGGTGAAGAGATTATGTTCAGAACTTTGATGTTGTAACTATGTTGAAGACAATGATATTTTCTGATTATTAGTGGAGTAGCATAAGTGGTTGTTATTAATCGAAACAAATAAAAGTAGAGTGAAAATTTGATAGACTTTACAAAGTTAATTTAGTAAATACTTAAACATAAAGTAAAGTTCATGTTTGTAAATGAAAAATGTAAATAGCTGTGTTTGTTTTGTGATTATGTTGTTTCAAGGAAGATAATATATAGTTTCGTCCTCTTAAAATAGTAACAATCCTAGACTGATCGTTTATATCTTATACACAAAATAGTAACAATCCTAGACTGATCGTTTATATCTTAAACGCCACCATTCTCGTGACCGTTAAAATCAAGTCCCGTGAGCATATATAGATAATCAGAGATACAAAAGGCAAACTTAAACGCTAATGCTTCAAACATAGCTTCCATATGCTCAATGTCCTTTGCCATTGGTCCACCGTCAGGTGCGGTGTTTTCAGAGAACGTTCTTGTCCCGAACATAAGTTTCTTGATAGCATTGCCACAGTAGTGTATCAAAGAAATTTGATCGGATATCCAAAGTACTTGAACCTCTTAATCTTATTCCAGCAGCGATCGGATTTTGATAGTGTGTGTTCCTAGTCAAGGATATCAAAGAAATATTTTCCTTCTTTGAGGTTTCCTCTGCACAACATTACTAAACCCCAAAGATACATACCCTTATCGTATTTTCCATAAGAAGATTGGCACATGTGAGGTGATTGAGTGCTTTGATTGATTTGTGGTGGAAGAAGTACTGATTTATTCCCTCACTATTAAGATGAGCTTCAGCTGATAGGTGTCCGATATGGGGGGAGGGGGGGGCTGGTGTGTGTGGTAGATATTTATCTTGTAGCCAAGGCTGCCGTGGTTCAGATACTGGAGGTACAAAGATTAAAGAGTAGGAATAAGTACATAAATTTTTTTACAAAAGAGTAAGTTGTCAAAGTCATAAAGAATTAGTTTACGTCTCCTTTGGACCAAATTTTTTTTCTTTTTATGACTTCTTTTGGTTACATATGATGATGATGCG